GCCGGCGTATTTATGTGTCGTCACATTCATCGTGAAGGCAACGGTGGCCCCTTCCTCTTTCCTTGCGCAGCTGGCGGCAAAGTTGCTAGATGTGTGCACCGCATTGGTCACATGGCACACAGCACCCAGCTCACCGTTTCTGCCATGCATGCGCACATCAAAGCCGCTGAAAGTATAATTCTCATGCTGAGCCTCGGCACCGGCAGCAGAACACTTCTTCCACGTCCACTCACACACGCACGCGATGGCTCAGGCTGCCGTCACTCGGAGCACACGACACATCCACCGGCACAACCACCGCATCCGCATCACCAGATACATGTCCAGCACTCCCAGCAGCCGTCACGCACACGGACGAGCAGCAGCAGCACAAGAGCGCAAGGACCAACACGGCGCCGCACCGTCACCATCGTCATCATCGCAGTCAACATCACGCGTAGTGGAGTCGCTGGAGTCAGTCAGCTGATCCGTGAGACAGAAGGAAAAGGAATGGAACGAGAGGGAGAGGGACGGAGCACAGCGAATACAGCGAGAGAGCGCAGACAACATGAGGAGAGGGCATCAGGCCCAGCCGCACATTTCACACACCACGGGGCGGCATCCACGCAAGAAAGGCACACAACGCCAGCAGCCACCCACCATGCAGGAGGAGAAGACATCCACCACCATCTCCCCCAGCTCATCGCTACAGCCAATGGGAAATGCCAAAACCCCGCGGCCACCACACAGCGCACACGGAGCGAGCACCCACCACACCAGACACACGACAGTGGACCCTCATCCATGACGCGGCAACAAGATTTCCTGCCATCCCGCCCTCAATGGGACACGGAGCCCAACTCAACACACTCACACGCGGTGCACCACACCCGCAGGAAAGGAGACTCGGGCTGCGCACTCCCTCTCCTCCGCCCTTCTCCCCATAGCAACGGAAGAAGACAACAGCAGCCACACGCAACTGCCAGCATGCGCTACAAAAGAAGCCTCCAAATCGAATGAAATGTGCATTTTGTACGTGCATGTGGTTGTGTGTGCCTGCAGACACACGAGGCAAAGAAGTAAAAAGAGGGAGCAGAGTGTGTGAAGGGACGCACAAGAAAAACTGTACAGCAGAAGTGCATGGCAGAAATAAAGAGAAAAAGACTGCTCAAGCTCACAATATCGCACTGCAGACAAAGCAGCGGTACTTCATAAAAAATTTATTAAAATTTTAAAAAATTCATCTTCACCCTTCCACTCCCCACACTTTGGAAAAAAAAAAAGAAAATTGAAAAAAAGTCGTCCTCTATTACGGCTACACACAAAAAACAGAAAAGAAAAAAAAGAAAAAGAAGAAACACACACAAAAAGCACCCAACCACCATGTTGCTCCAGAAATCGTCTGCATATTTTGTCCGAAAATAGAATTAAAAAGATATTTAAATGTCTTTCAAACTTCTGACCTCCATGTGTCCGCACATCGTTTATATTTCATGGGGTCATCTGCGTGTTGCTGCTCCCCTCAGCCCTCTCATCGGCGTGTGAGTGCGGCCCGCAGAGCACAGTCACTCGTGTGTGTGTGTGGGGACTGAGAGAAGCGCGCAGACATGACGGGAGTCGCGTCACTCCATCGGGAGAGTGAGCGTAACAAAAGAAAAAAATCATCGGAGGGGAGGGAAATGCTGACGGGACTGCCAGCGCATGAAATGAACACGAAAAGAAAAAAAAAAAAGAAAAACACGGCGGCAGGGTGTGGCTGTGTGTGTGGCGCTGCGGGTGTCTGCCAGCCCTGACCGCAAAGAAAACAAAACAAGAGGGAAACAAATGTGTGCGCCGCCCCACAGGCCCTCGTCGCACGCCCACACGTCACGGCTCCCTCAGCGCGCCGTTCGTCGCGGCCCCTCCTCATGCGTGCAGCAGGCGAGGCGCACAGGGCCGTCGTCGTGAGCGTGTCGGTGGGTGTGCGAGTGGAGCAGTTGGGCGGAAACACACGGCACCCCTCACAGGAAGAGTGCAGAAGAAACAATTACAAGAGGGAAAAGTAGAAATGAAAAAACGTCCATAGTGATTGCCCCAAGGCAACAAGCAGGATAAGGGAGTGGGAGTGAGAAAAAAAAAGAATAATTAAATCTAAAGCAAAAAAAGATTTTATGAGGAAAATAGTTCCCGGGAATAGTATTTCTGTGCTCGGGAGGGCGCAATTGTCCCACGCGGCAGCCAGTCACTCCTCACAGAGCCGCAAACCCCCACAGTCCCAACAGAAGAAGCAGCAGCAGCAGTCCGCTCTCACGCACAATGCTGCCATCACCCGTTGCTTCTCCAACGGCATTGGAGCTCAAAGCTGCCGGCACTTGCTGCGCTTCACGTTTTTTTCGAGACTGCTGCGAGGCCGCTTGCTCCACTGGATCTTCAGAAGGTGACGCAATATCTTCTTCCAAATCGGCACTCCCACCAGTAAATGTCAACGGGCGGTTGTACAGCAGGACGTTCCTCACAGTCACAGACACACCTTCGTCACCCACTGTGTTCTCTGCGCTGCCTCCATCCCCTCCAATGTAAAAGTGTGAGATCCCTTTCGATTCTGTATTTTCCAAGTTACTTTGCACACTCTCACACACACGCTGACCATCGACGTACACGGAGCCCTGTTTTTCGTTCTGTAGCACAATGGCCACTTGGTATTGTCTCTGTGGATCCCAAGTGCTGCTGTGCTCCGCGGTTGTTCCGTCACAGCACAGCGCCTGCCACTTCCTTTCTTTGTTGTACGACAGTCCCAGGAGTACTGTATTCTTATCGCCATCATTCACCTTCGCTCCCATCAATGGAATGGGGGTATCTCCGTCCTTTGGCACACCGTGGATAGACACCGTCGCCACAAGAGTGAAGTTGTAGTTCGCAAAGTGGTACAGCTGATTCTCCCCCTGCCTGCCAACAGGCCAGTGCGCCCCTGCGCCACGCCCTTTAAATGTCACGCCATCGGAAGGCTCTGCCTTTTTTACAGCACCAGTTACTCTGGCGTTCACCCCGAGGTACTCGTCCTTCCATTTGCTACCAGACAAGTTGCCGGACAAAAAGCCAACCAGCCCAGCGGTGATCTTAACAGTAGTGCTGCAGGGAGTGCTATTTGGACGGTCCTTCTCAGTATTAGAAGGAGTGCACAGCTTGGAGACAAGGTCGTCCACTTCCTTCCACGTCGCCAGCACATCCTTCACACGCTTCAGCTGCTCAGTCAGACGCACAGAGACCATACCGAGTGATTGTCTGAACCCATCTTCCTTCTTCTCGTACAGTGCAATCAACTCATTATTATTATTCCCATTAGTTCCACTTTTGTACAACAGGGAGCTGGCGGCAGCGTCATCGTTCCCGGATACCGGACCAATATCAACAATGTGCGTATTGTCCGTCAGCCAAAGATGGAGTTCGCCCCTTTCTTTTCCACGGCCTCGTGTATCAGCCTTCTTGGAAAACACCGGCAGAGTAACGAGCATCACATTTCTCTTATCATTTCCAACACCGTCAATATTCGCTGTGATGAACCCGCTCCTAACGCCCCACTCATGTCGCTTTTGGTTGTTGCCCCACACGCGCGAGAGTGTCCCGAGCGCCTCCGTCCACGACGCCCCCTTATCACCGGACTCGTACACCCTGCGGCGGCCATCATCACACGCAGTCATCATCATGAGTTTTCCCTTCCACTCCACGACGGAGGGATCAGTGCAGCCATAGGCAGACATCCCCTTCGACAGCTTCCAATTCTTAGTATCCGAGGAGTACAAGATCAGCGAAACGTTGTTATTCTTTCCTTCCTTTGCTTCACTTTCAGTGCCGTGCTCCTTCACGGCTTCCAACGGGAGCACAAGCGTATCGTCATCCATCGTAATACCCGATCCACCGCCTCCAGTGAGCAATGGCCAGGATTCGTGAAGTTTTACAATCGAAGTGCACGGGAGATCGTCAATAACTTCCCAAACAATTTCTTTGTCCTGTTCATCACTGACATTCCCCTTTACCAGCAAAAGACCCCATGAGGCAGCGTCAGCCCTACCCTGACAAACAGCAACATTTTCCCTGATGTATTTTCCAGCAAGCATGTAAATGCCATTCCCCTTCACGACTGTTGTTGGCCGGCTCACATCTACTCTGTGGAAACTTTGGGAACCAACGCGATTCGTTGACTGAGAGGGGCGTTTGCCTCCTTCGGAAGGACATTTCTCCAGTGTCTTTGTCTTCAAATTACTTCCACCCATTTTTTTTTGGTTTTCACCACTCAACTCAAGGAGCTCCGAGGCAATCCCAGTAAAGAAATAGTTTCCATCCTTCAACAGCGCCTCGGCAAAGGCAAACACGCCACCATTCACCTCAACAAAACTGGGAGCATAGAGCGAATCCACTGTTTCGTCTTCTTTCTTATCTCTCCAAACAATGTGTTTATCCAGTGAAGATCCCGAATCTGACTTTGACCCCTTACCTGCGGGGGCAGCACCACCAGTGCCGCAGCACATTATCACAACAAGAAGTAGCAGTGCTGCAGAAGTAAACATACGCCGGGACATGTTGGGCCTCTGCAGCTCACTCTCTCTTCCTTCCCTCCTCCTTCCGCTGGATCTGGTCACGCGGCGACGGTTGTGTGTGCGGGGTGCCTTCACTGCAGCAACACGTGAGAGCATACAAATATGTGTGTGTGGGCGGTGTGTGAGCTTGTTGTTGGTCCTTTCAGTGCCTTCGAATTTCACAGTAGCGATTAGCGCTTGTTTGCTTTCTTTCGTAAAAGAGAAAAAAAAAATACGGAAAACAAACCAAAAAAGGGATGAAAGAATAAACACCGCTACCCGCCCACAGTGAGTGGCACCATCATCCCCGCCGCAGTCACTACAAAAAACAACAACTCACGCACACAGACACACGGAACGAGAAGGAAGAACAGTGCACCGGGAACACACAGCGACTGCCACCACCAGCAGCAGGAGCCACAGCGGGTACATAGTTATTCGTCACGCGTCAACACACACCAGGCGACGCCCACACACAAAACAACCAGCGGAATGCAAAAGGGAACAAGACCGTCCTTTGCAAAGCCCACGCGCTGTCACCAGTTATTTTACTGCTCACCCTTCCAGCGCACCCTCCAACGCACATCACTCCACACAAGCGAAGAATCCCTGACCAAAGTATACACAGCATGGGAGATACACATTGGCACGTGCAGCTGCTGGACAAGAAGCAATCCACACTTGTCCCAGACACCCTAAGCCACACCACCCAATCGACTGCACGCCTGCAACGTGTCAAAAAATAAATCGCAGGATCCCGTCCTCCCTCCTCGCAAGGGACGTCGCAGCCACAATCTTCTGCGTGCATCCGTTCTCTGCAATCACGACACTCTACAGAGTATGCATAATGGCGTGTTTGTGTGCATGTGTTTGTGTGTTTGGCAGCGCCTATACTTGCAGAGCAGCTGCACGGCACAAGGATTCAAAGAAGGCAATGGAATAAAGAGGCAGATAGCACACACGCAAATTACTCATACCTTTACACACACACACACAGCCCTGCCGCAACACCAACACACAGATGGAAGGGGGAGAAGCAAACAGGAGCGGCACACAATGCCCCACCGCATGTACATGCGGCGAGAGCGGTCCGTCGTGTCGACGCCCCTCACGGAGGGTACGCACACACACAAGAAGGTGCAGCGCACACAGCAACACAAAAGCAAAGTAACAATACAATAAGAGATCCCCACACACCACGTGGATTGTTGGTCCACGGGAAGTGCAGCCAATATTCATCACAAAAACATTTCAGTTGACTTCGGCCTTTGTTCATATTCATCGCAGACCACTTCATGCAGGCCGGCCACCACCGCAGCGGCCGCACGCGCAAAAATAAACGCAAGGGATGCAATAATGCAAGCAAACATTTATTTTTGTTTCTGTTTGGATGTTGGCAGATGTTTTCATGCTTTTTTTCATTTTTTCAGAGAGCAAACCTTCATGCCTGGATCGTGTGTTGGGATTTCTGCAGGGTGCACAATTATTATTTTTCTTTCCTCTTGTGAATGTTTCATGTGTTGGTGCAGCCAATAATTCGGTTTGTGTTGTTCCTGCTTTTCGCTGGTAAAGTGTTGCAATAGATGCTTGTTTTTCCTTTTCGTTGCTGTGGCACCTGGCTCCTCACCGTTGATTGCGGTGGAAATGAAAATATGTG